ATATGGATCCTGGAGGCAACGGAACGGTCCTCGAAAAATCCGTAAAGTGGTCATTCCATGAACCTGATCCTAGTCTGCGGTTTTTTGAAAACATTAGAAACTGTGATGTAAAAAATATTTGAGTCGTGACATAAACATGTACATGGATGGCCATGGGACCGTCCTCCGGAACATCCGTAAAAGTGGATGTTATAATCATATTTTGTACTTGTTAGATACAAGAAGAGGTTGAAAGGCAAGTGTTTGACACATGAAACCTGTCAAATTTGCTTTCAGATAGTCACAATCAGCGATTTTACGACTCGCGAGCGCTCACTCTGAGTGTACGCTCACGAATCATAAGATCGCTGATTGTAACACTCTGGTAGCGAAATTGACAGATTTTATGAGTCAAACACTTGCCTATTAACCTCTTCTTGTATCTAACAAGTACAAATTATCATTATAACATCTAATGATTTCAGGAAATCATTTTTTATAGCAAGTGAGTGGAAGCAACCCTGGTTTCTTTTATCACATTGTTTAAAAAAGAACTGCAGAGCTCTAGGATCAGTTTCACAGTATGACAAATTTACGGATTGCAGATCTTTCGGAGGACAGCCCCATGGCCCTCCGGATTCATGTTTATGTCAAGACCCAAAATTCTATCTTAAATCGCGGTTTTTTTTTGCAGTTTCATGGATGATCCACTTTTACGCATGATCCGGATCTTCTGGTGGACGGTCCAATGGCCATTTAAGGTTCATGTTGATGTCTCGACCCTAAATTCTTTCATATATCACAGTTCGAAGTGTTTTCGGCAAAACTACGGAGCTCTAGAAACAGTATCAAGGATGGACCACTTTTACGGATCTTCCGGAGGACTGTCCCATGGTCATTCATTCTAATATCACAGTTCCACGGTTTTTTTCGTTCTTGGATCAATTTTATGGCTTGCTTGCTTGTAATCGGGCTAAGGCCTTGTTGTCTTCTTCTGTCCGAAGAAGTCGTCTCCACTCTACTCGATCCATGGCCACATTTCGCCAGCCTCGTAGTCTGCGAAGGATCCGCAGGTCGCCTTCTATTTGGTCGATCCACCTTGCCCGCTGCGCGCTTCTTCTACTTGTTCCTGTTGGGGCGGGGGAGGGGGGGGGGCACCCCTCACCAAAAGGAGGAGTTTGGTAAAGAGAGATGATAAAACTGATTAGTACCTTCCTAAAAGTTGTCTAGCTGCTTTCTACTTCTATGTGAAATTTTCACACTGCCGTACTCTAAACGGAACTATCAATTCTATACTTTCATCTGCTCATCTATCGTATAAAAAATACCACTGTCTGTTATTTGAAATTAGCATCTTTAACTATGTAAATCGTTGACTTCACGCAGAAGTAATACCACGTAATACTAAACAAATAGTCAAAGTACTTTTTATTGTTTTAACAGCCACTTTTTGGTCACTAAAGTCACTACTATTACATCGCCCTCCCCATGGACATGGAGGTTGACGGTACTGAAGCAAAGGGTTATGTTTAATTTCTTTATATTTGCAACGATGATGATTTCCTATAGTGACACATATCACCTTCTTAATGCTTCAGTATGCCTCAAACGATTAATTCTTGGATGTTAATAGAACTTCCTTGATGAAATCGGCTGCTTCATGCAGACTGAGCAATTCTGATTATAGTATCAGATTTGTTCTGTATACAGAGGAACTGGGAGGGCTTATTAGAAACTTCTCACCAATAAAGTAATGATCTTCTAATAAATTTTGCATATAATCTTATTAATATTTTATTTTATTTAAGCATATTATTTTTGTAACAGTCAATTAGCATTAGCATACGATACAAGATATTTAATATTACTTGCTCGTTTTTGCGTAAAATAATCAATATTTATTTTACTTGTAATTTAATTACCTTTGAAAGTTTTCCTCAATTTTTTTTTTGTGGTCTGAAAATTTTCCCAGTTTGGTCAGAAGTTTCGAAGCTAACGCATGTCCACAGGCTTAATAGAAAGATAGGTAGAAAAAGTGTATCATGAAGAATGGTTGCATGCAGGGTTGCTTCCACTCACTTGCTATAGATGAGTGATTTTCGGAGTTTTGAATTCGTTAGATGTTGTAATGAAGATTTGTGTTGTTGGATGCGGGAGGAGATTAAAGGGCGGGTGTTTGACGCATAGAGCCTGTCAATTTCGCTTTCAGAGTGCCGCAGTCGGCGGTTTTATGATTCGTGAGCGCTCGCGATTCGTAGAATCGTTGATTGTGACTGCCAGTGGATTAGGCGGGTTTTGTGTGTCGGACGCTTGCTTTTTGGCCTCTTCTTGTGTCTAACATGTGCAGTATTATTATAGCGTCTAATGGTCTGGTTGCGTGATATATATTTGTAAGAATATCTTTTTGAGATTTTAGTAGTCACGTTTTGTTTGTAGTATATTTTTTATTTCTTTCATGTAATTCTCGTAAATAATAGATAGTGCATCCATATATTCGTACTATGACGCGAAGCGCAGTGGATTTTGAGATGCTCGATGACCCTGTAGGGATCGATTTTGCTTACTGAGCAGAAAATCATGGATTTAACCCCAAGCTCTTCCACAGCACAATAAATCGCCACCATCATTTGTATATTTGATATTGAACATTAACCTCGGAAACTATTTGCATAACAAGCGAAAACGTAGTCCTGTATTGTCGCGAAGCGTTATGGTTCTGAGATGCTCGATGACCCTGGAGGGATCGTTTTGCTTACTGAGTAGAAAATCATGGGTTTAATCCCAAGCTCTCCGTCATGACTCTTAAAATTCATGATCACTAAACAAAATGAATATGTTCTTTCGATAGCCAGCTATCGAGAGATGAAATAAACAACAAATAAACAATACATACTTTTGGTTGCATCGCCAACTTGAGGTGAATCCTAACCGAATACCCTACTCAACCTTTCAACTCCGTAGCACTTATGAGGGTGTCGCTAAGTCGGTGGCCTCTCGTTAAGTAAGTACTACATCAACATTTCCTTCCCTATCCCTAGTTATGGTAAAGATGGGCGTGGCCGGGAATAGCGACAGTCATGCTTCTGTTACTGTTGTTTAGATTGGAACCAATGTTTACTCCCCAGCATTATTCCTGAAAGTAGTCTAACTGAGAATTTCAGAAGAGACGTGAGTGTCGCTAGTATCCAATCTACGAAGTATATCATAACAACGCTAACGCTAACTAAAGTCACTACTATTACATCGCATGCCCACTACCAGCCTTGAAAAGATCAGTCGATAGTTTCTGTGTATACGAAGAAATTGTATAAGGGACATGGATGTAATGTCGGCCTAAATGCCCCTAAATTCAGCAATCGACTAAATTTTCAATAGCAACCAAAAATATCCATTAGTACCGTCCAAATGACGCGTTCATCTAAATAAAATTCAGAGTTGTGTTGCTCCTCTCGTCATGACCAACGTGATCATCTCAGAGAGAAAGCAGTAGGGTGGTTGTTGCGTGCTGTACCATCATCAGCATTGTTGACGGCTACTCCCGCCTTGAGTTGTTACATTCAAAGTGTTTTTTTTTTTTTACCCAACAATAGTTGGGTAAAGAAGAACTGCATTATAACACACCATCGACTGGAAATGCTCTCGCAAACGTGGGGCTTTAGGTAGTGATGAAAACGTCGCTAGAACTATTCCACAGCCGCAGTCAGTTTATGAGCAACAAGAGGGACGCACATTTTTGCCTGTGGACTTGGAGACATACTTCAAGTCCCCGCGTACATCGTACGGGCTAGGCAAAAATGTGCGTCTATCTTGTAAACTGTCGCTTTAATGGCCCTTCGCTCATTTTCAACTTCTATTCAATTTTCATACTGCCGTACTCTAACGGAACTATCCACCTACCCTCTTCTAAAGATCATTCTCTGGCTAATAAATCATCACACTAAAGCTTCATGTTAGCATTTCCAACCAACTCTGAAAATCGTTAACTTCGCGTATGAAGTAACATAAAAAAAAAAACACTTTGAATGTAAATAAAATTGATAAATAGCAGATTTTTAGCGATGGGCCCAACAATCTTAGATCCATAGGCCAACATTAGAGCCATTTCTTCTACGTATTCCGGAATACTTGATGAGCATCGATGTTCAATAGTGGTAGCGGTGGTTGAAAAATTTCAACATCGTACAATGAATCTACAAACACCAAATCGACCAGCCTGTCATTGAAGTTTGTCATGGAGTTCCTTTGCACCAGACCACAAGCGTAGATGGACTCTGCAAGTACAAGTTCATGTTCACTGGCAGCATTCGACGGCAGGTAGGTATCGGTTAACGTCTTCGCCAAAGATCCAGACGATGCCGTTTTCTGATGTTCGATCCCTAATGGTCTGAACGGCCGAAGCATAAGCAGCGTATAATCATTTATCAGAATTTGGTCAGAGGTAGATACCGAAGATGTATATCGATTGATGTGAAAGCTTCAAACATACGGAAACTTGTTCAATTTAATTTCCGTTTACTACAGAGACCGCTGTACATTGCAGACTAGTTTTTACAGCAATTAACACACCAACACCGGACCTTCCGTAAGAATGCTGGTGGACTAACTATGATCACAGCGAAGTAACGAGTGATCTGACGTCAGTTCAGCATTGCTTATATCGGGACGCAACTATGTCTCAGTGAGAACGTCACAACTGGATAATTCTAGCTTGAGTTCGGTCGTTTTAGATGGTTTTAGTGCGCAGTCCTCTGACGTTCTGGTAGTAAACGGACAGGAAACGCTATGGCTCCGACGCTCCACAGTTGCTGGTCGAAATCGTAGAAGCTTCAACCAGCCATTTGACAGTCCGAACAAGAAACAAAGATAGTGGCGACAGTCCGAACAAGAAACAAAGATAGTGCAGATCGTAACCTCAAATAATAGCATCGACAATACCCCAATTTCCTCGGATTTTTCGGACTGTTAATAGAGAAGTTAAGATTGAAAGATTTCAATTATTCAATTGTACAAAAACTGGATCATCCGTTTCAGTCAAGTTTATTTCAAAAAGCATGATTTACTACGACCTATGAAACTGTTTTCCTAACATTGGTAGAACCGCGATCCTCATAGTTCCCTGAAATACAACGAGAAACAAGAACAGATTAATGTCGGATTCAACGTTGCTGGTGCAGAACGCATTTGAAATCGAGCATTCAGATAGGGGTGAAAGACCAGTTTCAATGCATTAGTAATGCTAGTTGTAGTTATCATTCAACTTATGTCAAATGAACTATGCGTCATCAGGGCAGATGTTTATTGAAAATTTAAAAAAAATACAGGGCGAACTTCACCTTACCTTTTCAAAGAGTCCTTAGTAGCCTCTACCCCGAGTCTAGTTCCAAGTAGGAAGATGGCACCAGCAAATGATCCAACTGAAAATAAGAACGAAATATTAATTATTCAGTTATTCTGGTTGATTTAGATATTGATAAGGCAACGTGTCAGATAGGGGTGAAAGACCAATTTCAAAGATAGTAAGTTAGTTATCATTCTATACAAGTCAAATGAACTATGCCTCATCATAGAAGACCGTTATTGGAGTTTAGTTGTTGTTAATCCATGTTTACCTTTCTGTTGTCTGCCAACCGGAGATGCTACACGATTCCGACTTCGTGTGGACAACTGAAATAGAAAATGGAGGCTGTTACAATGTGTTGCGGAAAACATTCAAATTGTAAAATGTTTCTTAATGTGTCAGAATCCTTTTGGTTTAATATTTGAAATGGGTGTAATCGATCATCGATTCTCAGAAACATTTTTTCATCATGAAAAATTAAATCGCATTTGAATCATTCAAGTTGATGCTTACCTGATTTTGTCTCCAATTCATGGATTTCAAAAAGATATCTGTAAAGAGAACAATCAGACGCATTAGATATGATAATAATACGAATAAACCATGTAGACAGCTTCCAAATTACTGTCAGCTGGCCGTTCTTATACCTTAATCACTAATTTATAATTTCGTTTCGAAAAGAACAATCATCATGTTAAAAAAGATCAAAATTAATAACAGATCTACTATCAATCAAAATTACCTCTCTTCATCCGCATGGCTTCCGGAACTTGCTCTGCACGAAGATTCTCGGTACGTCAATCTTCTCCTTCGGGTTGATCGTCCGCCGGTGAATATAACTGTTGACGACCACTTCGAATCCAGCGCTCCGAAACAGATCGCTGACTTCATCCTCCGCAAAGTAGTAACTTCTGGTACCGTCTTGTCTCATGTAGAAATTCTCCGCAATTTTATGCCCCGGTTTGAACCGCAACTGAGCCATATCGTACAAGCCGTAGTCCCGGAAGAGAAGCATCCCTCCGGGTTTCAGCAACCGGAAGATGTTTTTCACGACCAACTCGAACTTGTCCGGATGTATAGCCGAAAGAACGAATATTAGCGTCGCGATGTCCAGGCTAGCCTCTTGGATCGTTTCAAAAACCTCCGCGGTGGTGATATCGCATGGGAACGCTTTCATGTACTGTTCGTCGTACAGGTTATGTTGCTTCACTAATTCAACGGCACGTGGCGACAGATCGCAAGCGTAGATGAAATAACCTCGATGTCCGTCTTCTATTAATGGGAACACTAGATTTCCCACACCGCAGCCGATCTCGAGCATGGTTTTTACGTTGGCGCTCTGTTCACCGCCGGAAGTGTCACCTGCCAGCAATTCATCAAACTCACGCGTCGTCCAGTGGCGGTCCTTGAAAAACCGAGTTTCGTTCCGCTTATAGAACAGATCCCAATGTTTACGTGCTTCCAGCTCCAGTTTTCGGGCTTGGAAGTCCGTGACCATTCGTTTGTTCTGCTCCTCGAGGCGAATCTTTTCTTCATCAGTAAGGACTTTAGCACGGCGGGTGACCACGTCTCCCAAATTGAAGGAGCCATGTTTAGCCTGGGTTGGCGAATCGTCGTTGGCAGACATGCTGGTGTTCAGAATAACCACATTGCAATTACAGTTAACTGGTCACAAAGACCTAATGGCAATAATCAACTTTTCATCACTAAAATATATCTGTACGGCAACCACTAGATGCTCCAATTAAGTAAACTTTTCCCGAAGACTTCCGCAAATGAAATGAACGATTCGGACGCACTCTCCCTCGCTTGTTTGTTCGCCAAATAATAAGGTTGCAGCGGTACGCTTCGACAGCTTCGATGACAGCTTGCCGGAAACGTGGACGAGGGATGCGACAAATGTGAAATGTTAACCTAATGCACTGAAATAAAAACATACCGGAATATAGACAGGTTTCGCAATAGATGTCGCTACTGTGTTACATGACCTCATTCAGCTAACTGTTATCAATCGACCTGGTATTTTTCAATGCAATTAAATGATTAAATTGCATTTGTGCAACGAAGAATAGCCGATTGTAGTGGAATGACAAAATGCATGAGCTGAGAATGCAATAATTGAAGAACGCCTAAAGATCTAGCAACCAGTACAACCAACCGGTGGAAACTAACGATTTTAAATTGTCTCACTACTTAACTAGTCTATTGGTCCAAAGCAAATCGATTAACGTACCCCATTCCAGTTGAAATTCTAGTACTACACTGTTTGTTTTGATTCGCTATGAAAATTTGACCTATAAAACGAGGGGTTCGTGGATTTTCCTATGTTTCGAGGGGTGCATCGATTAGCCTGGGGCCAAAGAAAGTACCCGAGCTGAGCCGAAAAGTTGGGCACGTTTCTTCGGGATCTTCTGGTTTTAGAGTAACCTCCTCAAAAAAGTCAGCAAATAAATACTGACATTGCACAATGGTCCCAAAGCCGTATTTAAGAAGACAAAAATGTTTGCGCTAAAACCGTTGGTTTTAGGCATATGGCGTCTTCCAAAAAACTTCTTCATATTTTTTGGCCAATTTTTTCATGTTAGTAAAATTGGTGAATTGCAAATGTGAACTTTTTTATTATTTAAGATAGACCAATGCAATTAGTTTTCTATAAATATCTTTTTATGCGTTCATTTTTCGTAAAACAAACGATCTAGACACTTTTAGCACAAACGAAGTGACAGACGACTAACTGACGAAGAAATCCATTAAAATAATGTGGTTCACTGTAATAGAATTTTCTTGGAAGCTTGTGCCATCATCCACCAGATGGGTTAGTTTTTTTGTTTTGATTTGAACAAAGTTGATTTTGTGTACAATGATTATTTGACAGTGTGCAAAGAGTGTATCATTTTGTCATTTTTTATGCATTTCAGTTTTGAGTAGAGTGAAAGAGATAGAACCAAAACATTCTAATACATTTGGTGAAAATGCTAATACAATCCAGTAGTAGTGTTGCCATGTGGTACAATCCAGTAGTAGTGGTGTTGCCATGTGGTACACTGAAAAATTGAAATAGCAGGTTAGTCACCAAAGTTTTCGAGCCGCTCCGTCTGTCACTTCGTTTGTGCTTTTAGAATGATTGATATTTTTGCTGAAGCAACCAAGTTGCTATCTTTTTTATTGGAAAGTTAAAGGCGATTTTCTTTTAAAAAACTGACAATTTTTTAATTGTCAATATCTCTAAAAGGAGCAAACCGATTTTCAAGTTTTTAATTTCATTCGAAATATCATTATTTTGTTCATTTACGGTGGGAAAACTGCGAGAGTAATTTTTGTTTAAAGCATTTAATTTAATTTTTAGAAATTCGTATTTTTATGCAAAAAACTGCTATAACTCTTCAAATGAAGGAGATAGTATCTTAATTGCTTGCACTCGAATTATTCGCGAAAGAGAAAATCGATGAAGAGAATCGATCAACAATGATAGGCCCTTTTCTCATGTTGCGCAAGAGTTCATCATATTTATTATGGCGATTTATGTCAATCAACCATCTGACGACAACAGGAGAGAAATTCATGCGCAATTTGTATTAACGCATGGTGCATCGGACAGCAACACGAGTAAGAAGAGCAAAAAGAATCTTAAAGTAGAGTTACAAGAGTTAAAAGAATGCTAAAGCAAGTAACAGTCAATATAAGCACCAAGAGTAGGAAGCAACTTAAAGTAGAGTAACACGAGTAAGAAGAAAAGTTAAAAACAATAAACGTGTATTCAACAACGAAAGAATAAAAATAAAGTATATTCTACGCAATATCCAAAATATACATATTTTAATCAAAAACAATTCGAAGCAATGGTTACATCATATTAAAAAAACTGATTAGGTCGGTAAATTTCAAAAAAATAACTATTCGATTTTTTAACTGTATATGTTGCCGAAAAAGTTGTATTACTAAATACTGACACCCTGCACTTTTTGACATGTCACGTTCAATTTGATATAACTGGGCATTCGGTAACAAAAAAAAAAATACTGGGTTGGTTACCGAGTATTCAGCTGGTCAAAAATCCGGTAAATTTTTACTGACTGATCTGAATTAACTGTGTACTATTTTAGGTCCTAAGCTAATCGATGCACCGCTCGAAACTAAAGCCCTACAGTAAAAGTATGGACGACTGTCACCACAAAACTGAAAAAAAGCTGTTCCAATCGAGCAAAGCGGTGCATTTTGACGGTTCGATTGGAACAACTTTTGACAGACGTCGATACTTCATACTTTTACTGTAGGGCTTTACTCGAAACATAGGAAAATCCCAGAGGGGTGACACATCTAAATCTCAAGTTTAGATGCTCAACAAATCTCACACTAGCGAAACAATCTTCGAAAAATCTTCTTTCATTTGTCGCATCTACTTGCATCGCGCATCATCTTTTTGCAAGAAATCTTCAGAATCGTCATCAATCTTCTTTCTATCTACTCAGCGTGCGCGCAGCTAGCCACAGCAAAACACAATCTTTTCTGCATCGTAGATAGAGTCGTCCCCCTCGGGAAAATCCTCGGGAGAATCCACGAACCCCTCATTTTATCTGTCAAATTTTCATAGCGAATCAAAACAAACATAGTGTAGTACTAGAATTTCAACTAGAATGGGGTACGCTTATAGATGTACTTGGGACCAATAGGCTAGTCAAGTAGTGAGCCAATTTAAAATGGTTAGTTTCCACCAGTTGGCAATAGGCTGTCTTACAATTAACACTCATAATATTATATAGGATTTCCAGTGAAAATAAGATGTATGAGGGTATGAACAACAATCAATACGAAACTAACAATTTAAAATTGGCTCACTACTTGACTAGCCTATTGACCCCAAGCAAATCGATTAAAGCAACCCATTCTAGTCGAAATTCCAGTGCTACACTATATTTGTTTTGATTCGCTATGAAAGTTTGACAGATAAAATGAGGGGTTCGTGGATTTTCCTATGTTTCGAGGGGTGCATCGATTAGCTTGGGACCGAAGATAGTACCAGAGCTGAGCCATTTCCCCTATCTAGTTACAAACAGAGGCACAATCATACAAGTTTGGAGTTCATTCCTTTCGATTAGAATTGAAGTTAAATTTGGGACTTTAATCTTAATTTTAAATCTATCTACGTGATCTTAAAAGTTAGTTAGCCCGAGGTATCGAAAAAAAATACAGACAAATGCTCTATTTTTTTTTAATCAAACATTAGAATGTGGAAATTCGAAAACCATCCAGTGTCATCCATCTTAAAAATTATAACCTGATTTTTCTATGACTGCGATTCCTGATTTTTCGAAGTTTTAAAATCTTAATTTTGTTGTAATTCTCATCTCGAACAATTTTCCTCTGGAAAAACTATGTAGGGGAAATGGATATAATGTCGGTCTAAATGCCCCTAATTGAGGCCCATACACACTTAATCTAGCTCGGTAAAATCTCCAACAGCCGATTACCTCGGCATTTACTTTTGCTGATATCTCTGCAAAATATCTGTTTGCTAGCTGATATCTCAGCAAAATGTTATTTGTTAGCTGAGTCTCGGCAATTGTTTTACTGAGTCTCAGCAATATAAATTGCAGAACTACTCGGCTGTTGAAATCTCGGCGAAAAAATTTAAGTGTGTACATAAATTCAGCAATCGACTAAATTTTCAATAGCGACCAAAATATCCATTAGTACCATCCCAATGACGCATTCATCTACATTAAATTGATAAATAGCAGATTTTTAGCGATGGGCCCAATCTTAGATCCATTTCCCCTAGTCTTAGAATCTAGGTAAGTTTCCCAGAATCTTTAATTACGATTTTATTCTGAAGTCCAGGAGGCTGGTCCATGAGCTTCAAACTTTTGGTTATTTGATATTTTTGTATATTGAAAAAAAAAAAGAATTGAATGGATATTTTTCAGGCACTTTTATTTTCTGGAATTTTAATGAAACTTGAATGTTTGATTAGGTGAAACAAAGTATAATTATTAAAATTCTTAGTTTTTTTTAAATATTTATGAACTAGAATTTAGTCCCCCCTAGGCCCCCTTTAGTAAACTTTTCTAGCTATGCCAATGCAGTCTAAGCTAGGCATATAGAATATTCTTTATAGGGTTAATGTCCCTAATGCCGGCCTAAGGGTACGGCCAGGGTAGACGCGATTCGCGTCGCGACGCGACCAATTCAATAGAATCTTATCATTTATTTATATATCTCGCGTGAGTCGCATCGCGTCGCGTCGCGTGTCGCGTCTACCCTGGCAGCCACCTAAGTGTCCCCAACTTAGGGCCTATACATAAATTTCGAAGGAAAGCATTTTTTGCCAATTTTTCACTAACAACCAAAAAAATAAACTTGTATTGTCCAGATGACGCATTGTTCTAAATAAGAAAAAATTAAGAACAGCAGATTGTTATCGATGGACCCAATCTTTTAATCCACATAAGAGCCGTTTCCCCTAGTTCAAAAAATATCCTTTATTTTTTTTTAACTCTTTATTTGTTCCAAATTCAAAATAAATTACATTTCATTGTAACCTAGGTGCTCCAGTTACTACAGTAACTTACCAGCCTTAATTGTTATGATATATATCTAAGTGTTTTTACATTGTTCCTGCCTTGGCAATTCAGTATTTTAAACAGGTTTTTTCAAACCTGTATGTCAGTATAACAATTGAAATCTTAAAACTAAAAACTAAAACTAAATCTTATCTAAGGGAATTCTAAAGTCTCAACATTCGAAATTCTATGTACCTC